GATATATATATATAATGTTGGACAATAGTTTTCTTTTGCTTCTCTCCTCGTATGGTCAACGAACATACATTATGACGCAGATAGTTTCTCATGACTTTGATTACCATTTGACCTGACCAAGCGTGACGATATATATATCCTTCAGCGGTTCAGTATGTACCCGAATATGCATCTATGTGACAGCTAAGCTTATAAGACGTCGAGGCGTAGATGTATGTAGATGCATATGCGCATATGCATGTCTAGCTGAAACGAGCTTGAAGCGCCGAAGCGCCTGTTACTCAAACGAACCGTACACTATATCCCATTATTTAAAGGGCATCTATCTAATTATTGACCTCAGACAGTGTTCGTCCTGTATACACTTGTACGCTCGAATTCTACACTCTGGATCCAAGCGCTGAGTCGGTTGCATTCTGCCCGCTGCTGCATTGCGCCAAGCCGCACATGCGCGTTGTGTTGGTGGTGACCAAACCGCTTGCGACGACGACATCGGATTGCGACCACTCATCCATCCTTCTTACTACCTCCCAGCCCACCAACTAGCTCTCCAACATCAGCCAAAAGCTTACGGCCGACATCAGAAGCATCGGGCATATACACACACCGCTCGCGCATACCCGGCTACTATCCACAACGATCCCCGCGAGTACGGTAGTGCCACACCGCAATCCCACCATGGATACGCTAAAGGGCCTCTTCTGGAAGCCGGATCCCGCTGAGCAGGTCAGCCCACTTCCCTATCTCCTACCCCACGATGCTCATCCGACATCTAACCCCCTCCCACGCATACCTCCACTTCGAGTTCCATCTACTAACATGCATCTCGAGTGACTCTGCAGCTCCGCAAATGCAACAGCCTCATCCGCACCAACTCCCGCGCCCTCGACCGCCAGATCCTCACCCTCAAAAACCTCGAAACCAAGACAAAATCGCAAATTAAAGCCGCCTCCACCCGCCGGCAGCACACCTCCTCCACACCGCTCGAAATCCGCCTGCTCGCCCGCGAACTCGTCCGCATCCGCCGGCAGCACACCCGCCTCAACACCTCCAAAGCCCAGCTGGAGTCAGTGGGCATGCAGGTCCGCGAGGCCTTCGCTGTGCGCAAGATCCAAGGCTCCATGAAGGTCTCGACGCAGGTCATGAAGGACGTCAACGCGCTCGTCAAACTGCCGGAGCTAACGGGCACCATGCGCGAGCTGAGCAGCGTGCTCGTCGCCGCGAACGTCATGGAGGAGATGGCGGAGGATGCGATGGGCGCGGCGGAGACGGAGTTCGAGGACGAGGAGGCGGAGGAGGAGGTGGATAAGGTTATCGCTGAGCTGGTGGGCGATCGATTTGGTGAGGGTGTGGCGGTGCCGGATGACTTGCCGGCGGTGAGTGTGCAGGAACCTGTGGCGGACGAGCAGGTGGACCTGCAGGAGATGCGGAGCCGGTTGGAGCAGCTGCGGAGCTGAGAGCGGGTTGTAGATATGTATGTGGGTGTATTCGGTCGGTTTGGCTGGCTGGCGTGCATGCATGCATGAGGGTGTGTGGTGTCGTTCAGCGGGTATACTTGTCTTTTGAGCTTTCTTGGTTCATTTTGTCTGGTTGTAATTGTTGGTAGTTAGCTGGTTCCTTTCGCTATGATATCCATCTATCTAAAGTGTCCATATGATATAGAGTGTATTCTGCACGAGTCTACAAAGTGTACAAGCACCAGAATTTGAAGTTAAACGCCGTCTAGGCGATAGAATAGAGATGACACAGCTTGAAACGGAGATTAGTTTCCTATCTAGATAAGCATCTACTGATGATGGCATGTAGCATGTATGGCGTCTGACTAAAGATTGCTCGGCTTGACGGTCTAGCTTGCATTAGAGAATTAAGCTTAGATACAGAACGGCATATCCTCTCCACCTGCAGCCTCTCGTATGCAACAAGTATCCTATCGTACCCTGCTGATGAAAACAGCCCGCCAGAAAGAATATTCAAGTAGAAAAATAAGCTAGGAAAGCTCGTCCTCGGGCGCATCTCCGCTTCTAGCCCCACCACATCTTATCTACCCAGCGCCTTGTCGCGCTGCCTCCTAGATGCTGAAGCAATCTAATCAAGCTCTTCAATCACTGCCTTTCCCTTTTCCGGAGCCGCGGCCGTTGGCTCGGAAGGGATGGCCGCTGCGCCATCGCCTTCCTTCTCCTTGTCGCCCTCAAGGTCCGGCATATCGTCATCGCTGTCGTCGTCGAGACCCGTAGCGTTGCCACCTAGGCCACTGAGATCTTGCGCGCCACCAAGCTTGGAGAAATCGATGCCACCAAAGCCGCCGGCGTCGTCGCCACCGCCAAACTGTGACATCATACTAGGATCGAACTCGGGCTCTGGTGCGGGACCATCTTGCTCGTCTTCGTCGACCCACTACATTCGTACATCGCGTATTAGCATCGTCAACAACCCAATCTCCCTTAAGGTCCTACAAAATCTTTGGGAATGTGTGTTTAGAGTGCACAGCGGGGCGAGGGGCAGGTAGCTACCAACCTTATCAAAGTCCGTCTTTAGCCAATGCAGCTTCGCCTTATCCTTTGTCAGCCGCGGCCAAAACTCCTCCTTCTTCTCCTTCTTCCTCAGCACGCACTCCGTCGCGCGGGCAGAATGGTGGTGACGGCTCTCAGTGGGGTCAATCTCCTCGAAGAACTCAATTTCGACGCCGTACTCCTGGCCCTTGTCCGTCTTGCCCTTATACGAGAGCTTGGTCGACGTGAGGTCTAGCTTGAGGTTGTCTTTGGACACATCGGGGGCCTTGATAGTCAGGTAGATGATGTTCTTGTCCGCGTCGACGGGGGATGAACGCTGCGCCCAGGTGACTGTGAATACGAATTTACGTTAGAATATGAGCTCAGCGATACGTAAGTTGTTGGAGGGGTTGTAGAACGTGCCTTCTGGATGTAGGGTGGCCATGATAGCTGGATGGATAGAGAAAGCGATGGATATGGAGACGGAGACGTAGATTCAGCTGAGTCAGTAGTGTAGAGATGCAGGGCTTGTCGAGATGAGATGTGAGATGTGAGATGTGATGAGAAGGTTACGTGGAGACCGAGGCTGGCGGTGGGGCGTAAGTTCAGCGGTGAGGATTCGTGCGGCAGATTCCAGAGCCTTCCAGAAACCCCACACTCGCTCAACACACGCCCACTTATCGATAAAATGCCTACAAACTTGTACGACGGATTGTACGACACGACACGACACGCGAAAACACTGACACACGCGAGATGGAATGACAATTGCGGATGCATCTGCAATTGCAGTGCATTTGAAAGTTCAATTGCTGCTTGAAGGATTGGCTAACAACATATCACGCTTCTAGTATACAGTACAAGTATTACATGGTCGAGGCGCCTATCGCTCGCCCATATCGAAAAAGACAAATTCGGCAGACCGATCACCGACGCTCTCAAACGTCAGCTGGCTGCCTTCCCGCGCCTCAATTTTCAATCCGTCGCCCTCCTCAAGCACTTGCTCCGTGCCGTCCTCCGCCGTAACCTTCAATTTGGCGCCACCCGCCGGCGCCGGCTCGCTCCTCTTGCGGATTCCCGAGCTCATGACTAGGTGCACAAGTCCGAGCCTCTTTCTGCTACCGTCCCTTGACGTCTCACCAGCCTTCTTGCCAAAAACATGCTGCACACTGTCGCCGCTGTCTTTCAAGATGGTGGCGTAAAAGTCAACATCTGCAGGAATAGGGATGAGTTCCTCCTTGCCATCCTGCCTCGGCACAGCCTTGAGCTTCTCCGCGCCTCCAAAATTATCGCGTGAGGTGATAATCTTCTTGAGCACACCAGTTTTACTCTCCTCTGGATGGTGACGGGTGTAGTATGTTGGCGTCAGGCCGCTCTCATCCGGGCGAACCCAGATCTGCAGGATGGACGCATCGCTCTTGTCACCCGCGTACTCGCTGTGGCTGATGCCCGTGCCGGCAGAGGTGTACTGGACGTCCCCGCGCTTCAGAACCTCCACGTTGCCCATGGAGTCGCGATGGACAATCTCGCCGCGAGTGATGTAGGTGAAGATTTCATATTCACGGTGGTGGTGCGTGTCGAAACCCTTGGCACGGGCGATATTGTCTTCGTTGATGACGCGCAGAGGGCCGAAAGAAGTGTCTGCGGAGGAGTAGTAGGAAGCGAAGGAGAAGGTATGGTATGTGCGGAGCCAACCGTGGTCAGCGTAGCCGCGGGAGGCGGAGAGACGAGGAAGGAACTTGAAGGCTGCAGCTTTCGACATGGTGATATCAGTAGGTGCCAGAGTCTTGTGTGTGATTGAGGCTCTTAATGGTTGTAAAATTGAATATCTAGATACTTCCTAGGTATCTATCTGGATTTTCGTGAAGATAGTGAAGCTGTGATGGTATAATAACGTATATAGCGGTTGATATTTGATTAATTGAATGAATTGATGCTTTTCGATGCAGAATATCCGTCAGGGAGGCTCCCAGACCGCGAACTTATAGGCCCCCGACGACCATATCTGGAGCAATGGAGATGCTTCCATGACGCGGTGAAGAAACCGCGTCGAGATGTATTTCCAATGATGACTTTGCAAGAGCCGCCGAGTAGTGAAGCCGGACCAATCGATTAGTCAAGCTCTGTCGCGAACTGAAAGAAGGCTTCGGTAAGCGGGTGAATAAGCTGTCTAATGGGCTGACAAACACGCTAACCGCATCAATCGAGAGTTATAAAAACGCTTGACCAATACTTCATCGGCACAATACCAACAGTGCACAGTAAAAAATGTATCACGATAGATGCACACGCCATCCCCTAACAACTATACCAGTTGGAGGGATTACTGTGATACATATCACCATGCCAGCACAGTTTCCCAACACATTTCGACACTGTCGCGCTGCAAAAATGGACATAAATTAAATGTGCTCGTCTGGTTCAAACTTTCCACTTCCAGCCCCGGGGAACCGGGATCAAGACGCAAAAACAAACTCAAAAAGATAGAGCAAAAAAGAATGCAAAATGAAATGCTCGAACTTGGACTTGAACCAAGGACCTTCTCATTACCTGAGGTCACTCGATCTGAAGATACGAGTGAGACGCTCTACCGCTGAGCTATACGAGCAGTCGATAATCGGGCGGCAAGTATGTGTATATGAAGCTTGTGACACTACGATAGTATTATTGCGATTGTATGTACGACTGACAGTGTCGACAGCATATGGATTGAATCACTATTGTTTCGTAAACCAGATTGCCGTCAAAGGTAGTAAGTCTTGAGGTTGATAGATGTGGCCCTTATAATAGGTAACTGTTATCTCCCGTAATATTTGTACAGCTACCATTTCATGATACTAGCATTCAAGGAACCACCTATTACTATACTGCTAAATACATTACTAGTGCTAAGTAACGGAGGTTGTACAGCTGCAGACTCGATCGATATCTTGACAACATTGCAAATTAATATTACATGATCAGTAGCCCGTAGATACAATTTTACAAGTCCTCTCTCGTAATGTCATCTCTCTGTACAATGAGCAGTCTGCGGTGCCGATAGATATGCAAGCAAACGAGGAAGAAGAAACAGCCTAACAGGCTCGAAGCGGCCCGGCTGCACCATAGTTGTTCCCCTCGTCCAGTTCCTTCATCACCGCTTCTGGGACCAACCTTCTCTCCAGCCCTATGGACGGGCTGTTCTCCGCCCACATTGGCGAGATCTGCCACTCTCGGATCACCACATCTCCCTTCTTCTCGTCCTTCAACCGCCAGTACCAGTAATCATCATCCTTGCTATCACATGTCCCAAGCTCGAACTTCTTCAACGCCCACGGCTGGTAGCTCTTGATCGGTGTGCTCCACAGCTTACCTTTGTTCACGCCCAGGTCCTTTGGCTGCTGGCTCTTCATCAGACCCATTCTGTAGCGCACACACGGATGGATGAACTCGTTGGTGCCCCAGTACTCTGGCTTCTCGCTGTTCGGATGCTTCTTCTCGTCCTTGTCCTTCTCATGGTTGTACTGTCCTGGTGTGCGGACGAGCCAGCCGCCCATTCCAGGCATCGTGTAGGCGACCGATGCGCTGTCTTCCAGGTTGCCTTCCGCCCAGGGCTGCTGCTGCTCCTTACAGTGCTTGACGAATCGCTCGAGCTCGTGGTGGTTCCACTCGAGGAGTGTGCCGACTTGGTCGACCATCCAGGCGAGGCAGATATCATCGACGGAGGACTCTTCGTCGGCGCCGGTGATGGTACCACCGCCAACGTGCGCGTGGAAACCGGGGAACCAGCATTGCGTGAGATGGGAGGCCCAGCCGTGGTTGTTGTGCTTCTTGTGGTACCAGAGCGTCGGACTGAATGGGCCCCGATACTCGTCGAGGGCGAGCGCATGGGCGGCCTTTTCAATGTCTATACGTATATATATCGACAATTAGCACATATAGATCGGAATTCAAGAGGGACAGGTGCACGGGGAAACTAACGGGGATGTAGCTCGGTGTCGTAGAACTGGTACTCGCTATTCCAGTTCGTCAACCTGCTAAGATAGCTGTCCGGAATTCCCAGCGCGCCAACGGTATCCCACACGCCGACAAACTTGATAGTAACGCCATGGTAGTGGATCCGGTCCTGGTTCTGCTGCCACCAGCTGCTCTTGCTGAAGTCCGCGCCGATACCGCGCTTCTTGTACGCGGCGTACATTTCGGGGAACATGATCATTTCGCCCGGTGGCAGGATGCCCGCGCCGAGGATCAGACCTGCCAGCGCGCGCGCGGTGTACGCACCACGGGAGAAGCCGAAGAGGAAGATTTCGTCGCCCTCATGATAGTTGTTGCAGAGGAAGTTGTAGGCGGTGCAGACGTTATTGTCGAGGGAGCTGCCAGTGGCGCCTATATACATTCAGGTTGAAGTCAGAATTCATGCAAGCCAATTGACTGATAGGAAACGAATGATATAAGAACGCACGTACCCTGCAATCTCTTGTCGACGAAGGACAGATCGCCCGCACCGACGCCGCTCTGGTAGTATACGATCTGTGGTATCTTAACGCGCACGGCCTCATCCTTGGCATTTCTGGCGATTTCATGGCCTTCGCCGGAAATGAGACGGCCGATGCGCGCAACGTTGGACGGCATGTTCACCGTGCCTTTGTCCGCAGCGAACCAGGTGCCATCGCAGCAGACGATTAGGCGTTTCTTGATCTCATTGATCTTGGGAATCGCCTTCGCGCTCATTGTGATGTTCGAGTGATCTTCACCCATTGTGACGGTAGAGAGGTCTGTAGAGCTAGAGTAGCTACTGTAGGTGATTCAGTGTTAAATGATATATATCAGCAGGAGAAGTTGTATGTAGCTCTGCAATGCGGGAAAAGTAACTGGCTAGCTATCGACAGAGCTATAATGGAAGTATCGATGAACTGGGAGTCCGAGAAAGGTGCATACATGCGGGGCTTTATACACGCATCTACCTGATACTCAATATAGTCACTCACGCCCTGTCCCGGGAACGCCGACCAGCCGGCCGTGGTTAGGCATCTTCCAACACTGAATTCCAGCGGGAAGTCAATCATGCAGTCAATCAGAACTATCGATACCTGTCTGCCGCACGGCCTGTAGGCACTAACCTCTAACTCTGCATGATGATGCATGCATACATGCACGTTCATACGCATGTGAAGTGTGAAGGCAGACCTGCCGCAGATAGTTGCCCAGTCTGGCAGGGCTTAACCATTGCGACTGCGATTGAGACCTGGCTGCCAGCAGGGGTCCATTCGGAAGCTCAGCAGCTGGAATGCAAATGTCCTGGCCAGCGATGCAAGCGCTAGGCAAAATATGTGACTGTGATATCCCGATTGCAGATATGCTCCGTTGATAGCTGGAATGCGGCTGGGCGATCGTCGTCGCGCTCTTAGCGGCGACCCCGCCTTGCTTTCTCTTTCGAGCTTTCGACTTGTTGGACATACGTTACGTGAATGCCGAGTGATGCGGAGAAAACGAACCAACGGAACGAAGAACGGGACGAGGCGAGAACCCAGGTCCTGCCAGATTTGGAACTGGGTGGCGATTGAATTGATGCTTTTCCCGCGTTCATTCTAATCAGCATATAGGCCAGCGCGACGATGCTAATCGGAATATAAACTTAGCATGCGGAGCTGAAGCCTTAAGCCAAACTCGCAGCTTTAGCTTCGATTCCTCAGCTGCATTGAAGCGTCAGCCTTGGAAGGAACTCCAATGCATTGCGCTATAGGTGACGCACGTACGCTGTTGGTCGATGCAGGGGATAGCGAGAATCTAAGTCGCTAGCCCGCCGAATAGGGAAACAAGCCACACGGGAAAACGGCAAAAAATTTTCATTGCAGCGACCATGCGGCATGCGACAGTCCCCGTGAAGATAGTGATAAGAGCCGATGGTCGTAATATTTGCCGAGACTGGACGTTGAGCATTGGCTGCGTTTGAATCTGCAATCAACTTCCAGTTGGTATTTGGTATGGTTGCGTTCCACAGCTCGGGTAGTTCCGATGAGCTTAACCTTGGTACCAGTGAAGTCGCTGCTGCAAATGTGTTGGCTAGACGTTGTATTTTGATATGGCACTTGAATCACCTTTCAACCTGCAATACACCCGTCCCTCCGGACGCAGTCAGCATGTATAACACCCATTGTTAAGGTCCGGCATCAAAGCCGAATCCCGCGCTAACAATTCGCTCACCGATGGCCAGTCTTGACAAGCAACACGCAAACGTCAAAATCCGCAAAATCAAACACATCGTCAAGCGTACATGTCAGCGACAACCCCACGAGAGCAGAAGTGTGATGAGACATCATGATGCAAGCCACATGTGCCGGTAGCCGCATATGTAAAGTGAGCGTTTTGATTTCTGCCGGTTGGACTAGTATTCCTCAGCATGATTGTAAGAACATTATCATCCCTCTGCCGCTTTGAACTACGGATGTTCAGGTACCCCGCTCCGTTGGGTTTTCTTGGCAAGACGAGACGGGAGCCAAGTTTACGAAGTAGATGCGGGGTTCGGCACGCAGACACATCATGATCCGGTCCACAATTAATGTTAGAAGGTCTTTCTGCCAGTGGGTCGTGCTCCCAAAATCCAACGGTATAACAATATGGAAATTTCATAAAAAGTGGAGATCACTTCATTACGTAAAATGGGGCCGGATGTTGGGCGCGACGCTGTTGTCAAAGGTGTGGGTATAAGTATAACATGTTGAGGCCTCGCATGCTTGGAAAGGTTGCGCTCCTTTGACTCTGGTGGTTCGCTTTAGCTTTCGGCCCCAGTCGATAAAGGTCGCCGCAATTGTATATATAATCATAATATACATACCTTTGAGAATCAAGTTTCATACAGCATCAAAGTCCAATCATTCTTGCGCCATGCCATTCTCGAGAGCTGATTACAAGAATACATCGGACGCCAACGATGTTGCGCGGTTCCTTCACGACGAGATCGCTGGCAAGACGGGTACGTCTCACTCTGCAATTGTTATGCAATATCCCATCCCGTGGAAATGACGCCATATATATTGCGCAACAATGTTAATGTCGAGGACAACTCAAGTCGTAATTACCGGGGTATCGCCAAAGACTCTTGGGTCCGAGTTCGCATTGACAGTCGCCGGACAGGCACCTAAGCTCCTCGTCATCGCTGCCCGAAATGTGGAAAAACTCACGAAAGTCGCCGAAGAAATCAAGGCGAAATATCCAGATGCCAATGTCAAGACACTGCAGGTCGACCTTGCATCGTTTGAGTCGGCCAAAAAGGCTGGAGACGAGATTGCGAGCTGTGAGGACGTTCCAATGATCGATGTCCTCGTCAACAATGTAACAATATCCAATAATAACCGATGTCCGTTATGCCGCGTACTTATGTGAATGCTATGTATGACAGGCCGGCATAATGGCACAGCCATACAGCAAGACCGTCGACGGTTTTGAGTCGCAATTCGCCACAAACCACCTTGGCCATTTCATCTTCACAAAGCGCCTCATGCCCAAGATTCTCGCCGCCGCACGTGTAGGTCGCGAACCCCGAATTGTCAACATCAGCAGCAACGGGCACCGAATATACGGGATCAACTGGGATGATGTGAACTTTAGCGATGGCAAGACGTACGATCC